TACTCTACTTTTAAAATAATTGTTATATTTTTTTATAATAATTTAAAAAATAATTTATTTTTATTTTTTTAAGGTAAATCTATTATAACTTTGTAATTGAGAGTGCATCGCGGGTGGGTGCCGGGTACCCTAATTTTCGGTACAAACCACAAAAAGGTCCGAGTACTCGAAATCTGAAGCAATCCATTACTGATTTCTTTCTAGGAGATAGAAATGGCAGTTAGGATTACGGTTTCTACTTGTCCTTGAATTTTGTTGTAAATTTCTTTTAATACATGCTGATAGAGAATTGAAACTATATATATTAAATATTTGTTGCACAATGACTGTCTCTGTAGCATTTAACATGATCTTGTCCCAAAAGTTGTAATTAGTTAGTACATTCTTTTTAAAATAATAGTTATTTTTTATTTTAAATTATTTTTTATTAATTTTTATTTTTTATTTTATTAATTAATTTTTTATTTTTAAAAAAATTTATAATATTAAATATATTTTATATATTTTAAAAAAACTGTTTTACAAAATAAATTGTATATAATTTATCTTATAAAATTATTTTAATATTTTTAATTTTATTTTTATATTATATTATTAAAAATAATTAAATAATTTTATAAAGTAAATTGTATATAATTTATCTTATAAAATTATTTTAATATTTTTAAATTTATTTTTATATTATATTATTAAAAATAATTAAATAATTTTATAAAGTAAATTGTATATAATTTATCTTATAAAATAATTTTATGTAAACCCAGATGCTTATTTTTTTTTTTCCCTTTGTAATTGCTGTTAAAGACAAAGCCTAATCAAAGGATGAAATTTGCGGTATCATACTAGTTTTATTATTAAGGTAGTGATGCAGGAATAATTTCTTTTATAATTATATTATATAATTTTTATATGTTGTTAAATAAATAAATATATTTAATATAACAAATTTTATATAAATTAAAAGAATCAATTATTTTAATGACATATCAAATTAAAACATAAAATCAAAAGATTATCTCAAAATAATT